TTTCTTTTTATTTATTTATTTTTTTCTTTTTCGTTTTTTTTTTTTCTTTGGTCTGCTGAGAAGACTCGCGATTCTCTTCCGTGCTGGGTATTTTACTAACAATCTGCACGGCTTTGTAGATGGCTCCATGGCTGAGCGTAGTGCCAGGCGACGTTCCCCGGAAACGTCGAGAGAATTTTTTGGTAGCGAGAGAATTGGCGATCACGAAAGCTGGCGCAGAAATTCGCATTTGAACGGTATATGGCAGCGAGATCTACGATACGACAACCACCGAGGCAATTTTTGTCTAGATCTCATTCTCTAGATTTTTGGCATAGAATCTTCCCGAATGGCCCCTTTCGGAAATTTTTCACCCCTTTAGCACCGCCCCCACCCCCGGCTTTGCGAGCGTTTCACCCCCGACACTGCTAACCAGTGTGCGAGTCTAATTTCTAACGTAGCAATATTTTCAATCTATCTAACGCAAGGTTTCCTCGATTTTACAGAAGAAACCCGACTGGTCGAAGAAGGGCGAGGAAAAGAAGGTAAAGGAGGAAGACGCGGCGCCACCGACACCGGTGGAGGAATGAGAGAATTTAAAAATCTCATTCTCAACGTTCCCGAGAGAAACGCAGGATCGTCTGTCTGTCATCGTCAATAACCGCTCGATGCAAAAACTCCAAGGAAATCTCCTCTATATTTTTTAACGATCGATTCATTAATTTGATATGTCCCGCTGTCGTGAGTTGCACGCACAAAAATTTTGCCCGTTCGTCTGTCCGTCATGATTGCTCGTACGTCCCAGATTGTATCGAAATTTTTTGACATCCAATATCCGATCCGTAGCTCAACTTTACACTCTATACTCTACTCGTGCCTGTCCCATCTTTTTTATGGACGTAACGTATTTTTTTAATGGACCTTGTAAATCACCGTAGAGCACACTGTTGCGTGCAGATTCCACAAAAAAAAAGGAAAAGTAAAATAAAACTTGTCTTTCTGCAAACCAAATGCGAGGGAAGAGATGTTATTGTAGAGAAATAATGGGGGGAAATGTTACTTAAGATTTATTGTAAAGCAAAATATTTAACGGTACTCAAAAAATGTCTGTGTGTGATCATTTTCCTGTGCTTCATCCTGTACTCCTTTTATATTCCGCTTGTAAAAATTTTTTTGATTTAACATTTGATAATAAGATAATATCCATTGTTTAATGTACATTAATAATCATTTTCTGTCGATGCATTTCTCGTCAAATAGATAATAAAAAAAATATTAATTAATTAGATTAAGATTGTGAGGCTCGGAAGAAAAATCTAAGTGTAAAATGAACTGGACTGTACGAGCCAAGCTAGGTATCGATCGCTGTTTATATATTGAAAATAAATAATATAAATAATAATAAGTTACACAAAGCTTAGCTTAGCATTTGTAAACAAAGCAAAAAGACAACTAAAGACGAGACTCCACGAACACATTACCGACATTAATAAAAAAAGTGACTTCGTGGTTTCTCAAAATCATTCGTTTGAGAAAATGCCAAAATTTTGGACAAGGAATTTTGTTTTACAAAGAGACGTGTTTCTGAAATGATGCATATTAAAAAGCAATCACCAGGCCTGAATAAACAAAACGATACGGATTTACTCTCCTATCCTAAATCCCTGCCCGAGTTTTAACTCCCCTCCTTCGAATCCTTATCTTCTCCCTAATTTCATCTCCTTCTTTCCCCCTCCCTATCTTTCTCTTTGTTTTTCGTTTGTTTTCAACATTCTTTCTTTACTCTCATCCCCACAATTGCCTTGGCCACTCTTGAGAGCGTTTGATTTATATATCTTTTTCGACTGCTTGCGATCAGAAGGTATAATTTTTTTATTGATGTTCACATCATTTCTATTAATTTATCTATCTTAACGCGATCATTATTCGAAGCATTTCATAATTAGCCTTTAGTTTTTATATTGTTTATATTGTTATTATACTTACTATTTATTCCGTTTGACATTTCAAATCTTCTAATTTAATAATCCATTTTTACATCGAATTTATTTTCTCAATCTGGTTTTTAAATTAATTATTTTTTGGGATACTTTTCTAGCTTACAAATGATTTCTAATTACTGGTCGCGCATGATCCTAAGACTTCTTCTCGGAATTCCGATTATTAATTTTGCTTTTAATTCAAATTAATATACATTCACAACTACCAACAATTGTTCCAATTTATTCCCATCTTCGAATGATGCAACAATGCTTTCATATATTGACAACAGTAAGGTGCTCCTTTTTTAACGAAATCAAGTTTGATTACACAACGAATTGCAAATATCATATTGAATTTTTATACTGGTGAAGATCATATTAAAGATCGAAATGTTTGTAAATGTAACTTATTATTATTTATATTATTTTTATTATTATTTATATTATTTATTTTCAATATATAAACAGCGATCAATACTTAGCTTGGTTCGTACGGTTCAATTTATTTTACGCTTAGATATTAATTAATTAATTTTTATAATAAAATTTTCAGATTCACAGCACTTTTTCAAAATTAGCTTAATTATTTAGGAAAATATTCTTATTACTAATATATAAATT